TACATTGTATAAGAGAAGGATAACTGTAGTAAATTACAGAATAACATACATGTAGTCTCACCAATTAAACAGACAAAAACATGACTGGTAACCTTGAGGACTCAAATGAAGAAAATTAGAAATATAGTAACAACTTCTGATATTAAGAGATCAACGAATTATATATACATCCATCTTGTTTATATACAATTTGTGGTATTGAGTCTATTGATCTTTTGAATACGATATTGCACTTTAAAGTTAGTCCATTGTTTTGCTCAGCAATGATTATCAGATTTAAAGTATTCTTATATTCATTGGAAAATTCATGGCAATAGTATTACTTCTACATGATTTGCCAATAAATCAAATTCTCTATTATTGCAATCTTTAACTTAAAAATATCAAAATTCGTTCTGACACTATTTCTTCTGTAAACATAATAACTGTTTTACACACGCTATAGCACTGATGAATTAAAATTATCGCAGTCTTGTTATCAAATTTCCATGTCTTCGGTCATCATAAAAATATTGTTATGTCAATACATATGTTGCCTCATACCAATAATTCATCAATTTCCCTGAGAAGATCGTCATCGTCGGCAGGTTCACATCCAGTCATGTCTAAATCTTCTTTACTAAATTCCAACCACGAGTCATCACCTGTTTTCTTAGTAGGTAACCTGTTATTTAAGAATAGTTACATTCATAAAATGAAATATTCTCCATTTAAATCAATGTAAAATTTGAATATATAAAAATGACATATATAGATTTTACCACTGCGTCAAGTGTGAAACAATATTTTCCCACTGGAGACAATTACGTTTTCAAATATTTAAAAAGCCAGGCTTGCCGAGCTTTTTATATATATGAAATTTAACTGTTGAGAGTGGAAGCATATGGTATTGCACGAGATTCAGTGGTGGAATCTGTTTCTCTATTTATTTTTGTACCATATGTAGACAAACTTTTTCACTGATCTGCGTGCATTATACGTGAAGTAATCAGGCATGATTGCTTTTTAAAATGAAATCGAATTATAAATCTGGTAAGAATAGGAGAAAAAATCCACTTTTATACAGTTGTAAGTATTACTGATCAACTGATTTTTCATAGTCATATTGTAAATTTGGCTGAAAAGACATAATGTAAGATTGACGTTTCTTTAGTTTGTTAAGGTTTAAATGTTCACTTTAAAATGAAAAAAAAGTATTGTAGTGAAACTAGATAGGAAACCTGGGGCTAAATCTACATTTTTGAATAGCTGTTGCAGGACATTTAAATGAAATAGCAATGAATAGCAAGAACCTTACACACACTAAGTTCAACTGGTGTAAAGAGTTCTGTTGTAAAAACATGATTTATAACTATTGTTTTATGATTTCAAATATTCAATGTTCAACTGAAAAGATGCAAACGTATACTCCAAAACCAATATTAGACTGTTAGACACTTTCTAACAAATCTTGTTGGAGGAGATTTCAAAAATGAAAATTTCTGATTTAGGACCTTAGGTAAGTAGTTTTAAGAGTTGAGCGCTCACAGACATGTTTAACCCTGACAAATTCTGTATGTGCCTATCCCAAGTCTGGAGCATGTAATTTAGTGTTTGTCGTTGGCTGCAGTCTGTTATATTTGTTTTTTTGTTTATTGTTTTGTCATAACGCTTATTGTTTCCTTTGATAAAATTTGTCATTAATGAGGAGCTTGTTTTAATAAAGTCTGCAAGACAATTCCAGAATATACTAGTCTTCAGTATTTGCTGTCTCTTGAACTGTTATTTTAAGTTTATTTGGCAAATGTATTTAATCATTTATTTGTATTTACAAATGCAGCTGAGTCAATATTTTGGTTTTGTATTACCATCAATCCTACTTTATAAAAAAAAAAATTTCCAACTTGTAACAGTATCTTCACACCACTCTTTAAAGTGTAAATTGTTTGGATTTTATCTCCTATGAAGCAACACATTTTACAATGACTGCCTAAAATCTTCCATATAGAAGGGTCTTGATGGTGGTCCTTCCCTTTTCTATTCTTTAATTGTAAGCTCATTTTTCTCAAATCTGTATTTTTTGGCCTATTATACTCTATCCTTTATAATGCACATTTTGTCCATTAGTCTCTAATTCTGTAAACCTCATCTAGACCCTCATATAAATGCTTGAGCAAAGGGTTGAAAAAAACAAACTGTATGTTCAAAGAACAGCTTCCAATGAGTGTACCAAATTCTTACATTTCAAGAAGATCATCAATATCCTCTTAGGTATTTTTTGGAACTGAAGTTGATAATAGTTCTAAATGTTTTGTAGAACTATCAACTTGGTCAGACTGAGCTGGATTATCTGTGTTTTCTTGAAGAGTAAAGGTGAACATTTCTAACAAACCAGTTTTTGTATCTGATACCTCTGCTTTTAATGGAGATTTCTTCGGTTCTTTATTTCATTCAAAATGGTTTCTGTGAATACAAGTTTTGAAAGAAGTAAGAAAGAAATAAACTATTCAAAATTATTAAAATATTCTCCCCAGAGGTCATTTATTTTTTAAAGAGCACTCATCTCTTGCAAAATTATAAAGATTATTTTCCGGACACCTGTCAAAAAGGTACTACTGGTATTAAACTAATCTGAGAAGTTGTGTAAAACAAAATTTTGAAAGTGACTATATAATGCATTAATTAATTGTTGCGCTCAGCGCATGAGTGAATGAATTATTAAATGTTAGGAACTACATCTTTTTTATGGGCTCTCACTTCTCTTTAGTGCAACGTCATTGACAATCTCTTGACAACACCTATTGTTGTACGACATCAAAGTGAAATCTTAGGATATCTTTCACATGTGTAATTATCAGTTTTTCTTTCACATGTGTAATTTTCAGTTTTTCTTTCACATGACTTTTTGTGTAATTATCAGTTTTTCTTTCACGTGTAAAAGTATCGGTTTTTCTTTGACTGGGAAAAAACAGTATTTCGTTGCAACTAATGTAACACAACATTTATTTTCTAGACAAAATATTCTTGTCCATTTGTATAGGAACCATTGACCTAATAAAGGCAACAGTAGTATACCGCTGTTCGAAACTCAAAACTCGATAGAGATAAAAACAAATCCGGGTTACAAACCTAAAACCTTTAATTTGTCATATATTAATTGTTCACAGTGCGGCAAGTTAGAGATAGACATACTGACAATAACTACGAGACAGTAAGGTCTATTTTTGAACAGACTCAATATATATATATATATATGCATCTTCGCTAGCCAAGGGTTACGATCCACTTCCCTCCTCTCCACCCTTGGCAGATTAAGTCAACATTTGTGATAACAATGTTGCGCCATCTATCGGTAGATTAAAGTCACGCCCATTCCGAATACATTATTCTTAACCAATGGTAGCACTTGAACTCTTCAATTTGGAGGTAAAAACACGGTAGCGTCTAGATTCTACACACTTGGTAAAGCAGGAAACGAAAATATACGTTGACATTCATGCATTTGTGCTAGAAACATACACAGGAACTTCTATTAGTTGATTAAAAACATTCAAATTGTCACTAAATATAGTCGTATGTTTAGGGATAAAAAGACTTGTTGAACAATAAGCACGTGACAATTGTTTACATACACTTTCTACATTTACACGTGATCATGTTATAGGCGCTTTTTGATTGGATGCAGCGAGTTTCGACTGCAACCAATGAAAATCATTACATTGTGTCACCGAAATTCTATCCCAATCCGCCAAGGGTGGAGAGGAGGGAAGTGGATCGTAACCCTTGGCTAGCGAAGATGATAAATCTGTGGAACAAACTTTAAAGATGTTCATAGTCTAAAGATTTGAAGAAAGGATTAGTTTGCTTTATTGCCATCTTCAAATAACATTTACCAACAGAAGAAATCACTGAAACCAATAGGGGTAATTTTCTTTCTTTTCGGCTTTTCTTCAGTTTTAGCCTACTTTTCTCTTTGTTTCTCAAGTTTCTTCCTTTTCTCTTCCATTATCTGAGAATATGTCTTGATAGTTTCTGGCTCAGGTTTCTGTAGTTAAAATGTAAATTAGGCAATAATTGTATATTGTATACACATTTAATATTAGAAATATTAAATCTACAGAGGGAGCAATGAAACTTAAATTTAATGCAAATTTAAGTGCCCATTTTAACTTTAAAGATGGCAGTCATTCAAGTTGAATAGATAATTTAAATCTCCTTTCATCTAAGATGCTGTATGATATCTGAACCTATCAATTAAGTGCATTCATCTCTTACAACAGAGAGCCAAATATCTCAGAACAGGTCAAGATGGTTCCATTTCTAAATATAAATTAATAAAATGCACACCCTAGTCCCTTAATCTGAATTTGTTATGGGATAAACTATTTATCAAACAGATCAAACAACAACTAAGAGTGAACTCCCAAAAGGATACGCCCACCCAGCGATACTAATGGCTTTTCCAAAATTGAAGGTACTTAGATGAATGGGAGGCACTCAAATAAATCAATTATGGGTGGTTATTCCTTTATGCCGATAATTGGGAAGTGTTGTACAACTGTGTAATGTGTTTAGGGGGAGTTTGGTTTACAAGGCACATGGGCAGACAGACAGACACACAGGGTGATTCCTATTTCTGTTTGCAGGGGGTATAAAAAAAAAACAGGAAGTATACAATGCCGTCAGGTAAGATTTTCTGAAAGTTTGTAAAATGTCTACTCAGGGGTTTAGGAGGTACAAAATTTCAACTTTGTAAACGAGATCTGAGTTGAATCTGATTAACCCTTACAAATTTTTTCTCAGGCACTGTTGAAGAGACAATTGTCTGGTGATGGTAGAAAGTATTGGCTGTTGGGTTCCAATAAATATAATTGGGAGAATAGATTGTTGTAGAAATCTTTATTGAAGAATCATATAGAACTTTTGAAAAATTTGGATCAGTAGGCCATTGTGGTTTTCAAAAAGTGAATCCTTCCTCCTCCTTTCCCCACACATTCATCCTATTATAGAGCACACCTTACCTTTTCCTTATGTTTTTGTGAGATAATAGCTATAGATGTTCATGAATAAAATCAGACCAACAAATATTCATACTAAATAACTTGGGGGGGGGGGGGGGGGGATTAACAGCCATACGATGTCCCTGAAAAACAAATTAAACACTAAAACATTCATATCAAATCATGACTGCAACAGACTACACAGACAATATCTTGAAGTCAAATATTCTTTTAAGAAATTCATCAGCCGAAGTATTTTATTTTCCTTTTCCTTTTCTTTAGCGGTATGCCATTAGACAAGTTATTGTCTGCAAACCAGAAAAATGGTTGTCTTTGGCCCCTTTTCGATCCCTTATTATTAAGCGGTTTGGGCCATGACCCCCCTTAAATCAATCCCAACTTTCCTTTTGAAGTATGGAACTTTGTGGTAAAATTTCATAGCTACGACAATAACCCTAAAAAATAAATCCCTTCCTGTCGTGGTATGGAACCTTGTGCTTGAATCTCATACAGATCCATACACTTATACTAAAGTTATTGTCTGTGAAGCAATTTATTTTCTATGAAACGGTAAAACTGACCTTTTTTTGGCCCTTATTACAAAACCGCTAGGACAATACCCCCCTCCCCCTACAAAACAATCCCAACCATCCTTCAGTGGTATGGAATATTGTGGTAAAATTTAATAGAGATCCATGCACTTATACTCAAGTTATTTTCTGTGAACAAGAAAAATTGTTGTTTTTGTTAGCCCCTTTTTTGCCCCTTATTCCTAAACAGCTACTATAATAACCCTCAAAATAACCCCCAGCATTCCTATTGTGGTATGGAACCTTGTGCTGAAATTTAATAGAGATCCATAGACTTATACTCAAGTTATTGCCTGCAAACCAGAAAAATAGTTGTTTTTGGCCCCTTTTCGATCCCTAATTATTACATGGTTTGGGCCATCACCCCTCAAAATCAATCCCAACTTTCCTTTTGAAGTATTGAATCTTGTGGTAAAATTTCATAGAAATCTATACTCTTACACACAAATTATTGTCCTGAAACATGAAAATGCTTGTTTTTGGCCCTTTATTACTTAACAGCTACGACAATAACCCCCAAAATAAATCCCTTCCTGTTGTGGTATGGAACCTTGTGCTAAAATCTCATATAGATCCATACACTTATACTAAAGTCATTGTCTGCGAAGCAAATTATTTTTTATGAAACAGTTAAACTGACCTTGTTTGGCCCCAAATTACAAAACCACTAGGACAATACCCCTTCCCCCAAAAAAAACAATCCCAACCATCCTTTAGTGGTAAAGAAACTTGTGCTAAAATTTCATAGAGATCCATACACTTATATTCGCAGTTATTGTCTACGAACCAAAATGTCCTCGGACGCTGACGCAGACTTCGCCATTACATAATACGAACGCAAAAAATTTTGCGGTCGTATAAAAACACAGACCGGAGGTGGCAGGGTATTCCTTCAAAGGAATTCGAAATTCCAATTGAAAGAATGAAATTATACATGTAAAGTATATCGAATTTCGGAAAGTTGTCACTAAGGAACCAACAATATTCTGATATAGATATATTTGCAGACGAGCAAATTCTTTACACTGACTGATGTGCCATAGTACGAAAACTTTTAAAAGACTAAACTGAATACCAAAATATCATATTTCTTAAATTGACACTGAGCAAATTGCAACTTAATCTTCTGTAAAAGATTTAATTGACAGCTCTTTTAACATGAAAGTGGTTATAAATCGTTCATATTTACAATATGATAACAAGTCCTTCAGGTCTAACTGAGGAGTATTGTCAATACATCCTGCCACTTATATTTCAATATATGTAGTGACATAACTTTGTCGATCAGGAAAAACATAATCATATGATGAAACTACATGTATCTAAGATACATTGATATTCTGTAAACTATCCTTTCTGAACAAGAAAAGTATGCACGAATCGTAATCTTACAATATATATTAGAAGTGTGTCTAATGGCCACCTACTGTAGTCAATGTTATACCTGCTCGAGGGTAAAATTGCAGTCATCTACATTCCTTTGTATGTCTTTCTGTCTACAATGACTAATTTTCTGTTATAGTTCCTAAGCGTATATTTATGGATTGATTGAGTGGGTTTACAATTTATTTATCGACCAAGGCATCCAGAGATTTACCTATCCTGTCATGTTGCTCGGTGATCTAGACTGTAATAATAACATTTAGGTTTCATCTTTTTTCAAGTTATCACTTCAACTTCAAGTCATTTATATTCAGGATACCAAGTAAATTAACAAGATATGGGTCGGATAATTCTACAGTCAACAGACATGGTAACAAGAGACACACCCGTGTCTATATCGATCACTTGGTGAAAAAATCTCCAGTTTGATAATCTTGACTTGTATATGCACATACGATATGATATTTTTTGCAATTTAAAAACCTAGCATAGTTTTTAAATAACAGCCATAACTGTAAAAACAGTAAAAAATCAACAATTCGGGGGCGGTTACTTCAAAAAGGGTTCGGAAAAGTTCAGTGTACATAGATCTTGTCATGCTGGTCACTGTTGCAGTTTACACTTTTAACCTAGCTCCTGTAGTTTTCATGGCAACACCCAAAAACTGCAAACGAGTGAATTTTTCAGGGGCAATAGGTTCGAAACAGGTTGACAGATGTCTTTTTTTATTTTTGTTTTCAATTTTCGGGGGAGATACATCTTGTCGTGCTGATCCTTTTTGTAATTTACACTGTTAACCTAGCTCGTTTAATTTACACAATAACCGCTAAACATTGAAAAAAAAAATCGATATTTCAGGGACAATAACTTCAAAACAAGTTGTTTTTTCCAATTTTTAGAGTGGATACATCTTGTCATTCTGGTAATTTTTGTAGTTTACATTTTAAGCTAGCTCTTGTATTTGTTGAACAATATCAAGGAAATGTCAAAATAGTTGAAAATCAATATTTCATGGAAATAACTCCAATAAAGGTGGGGAGATTTTCCCAAAATTTTCGTAGTAGATACAACTTGTCGTGCTGACCATTATATATTTTTAGTTTTTTCTCTAATTGCTATAATTATAGAAATATTAGCCAAAAAAGTAATTAGACCCCGTGTTCTAGTTTTAGACAAGGCGACCATGTTGGTTGATTAACCTGGAAAAACCACAAACTGTTGTTGACATCCTATAAATGAAGCAGATAAACTTTTGTTTCAGCCAGTTATCAGTTTCAGATGAGAAGACTTAAAAAAGACGAGGAAGGTGACATAAGAGAAGTGCATGCTGTGCAATGTTTACAATTCAGACTGACAGCAATTTGTCTACAAAAATGTATGTACCCTTCTTAAAAGGTTTGGCTTTGGTTTGTTACACATTTCAGCATTCATCGGGGATTTAAATCCCAAATCAGACCGACCATAGGCATATTGAAAAATGTTATAAAAGGTAAATAAAGTGTACAAAAATTGAATATAGATATAAGAAGATGTGGTATGAGTGCCAATGAGACAACTCTCCATCCAAGTCAAAATTTATAAAAGTAAACCATTATAGGTCAAAGTTTGTCTTTATCATTTCTGTTTATTTTTTCTATATTAATGTATTTTTGACAAATATAATCACATTATAAAATTCCAAACCCAAAGATTCATATAATAAAGAAATAAAGATATTTTGATGACAAGATACAATAAAGAAAGAAAAAAAGAACAAAGGCCACAACCTATAAATCGATGGATCATGTGGCTATTCTGGTAGTCTATTCAAATGATTTTATACTGAGAAATCATGCCTCATGCGATTTGAGACAAAAGACACATGGTATCAAGCAAACAATTCGAGTTCACACATTGTTGTCAATATAATGGAATTGTAAGTGAGAGGTTTAGCTAGCTTTAAAACTAAGTTTAATCCACCATTTTCTATATAAGAAAATGGCTGTACCAAGTCAGGAATATGACATTTGTTTTCCATTCGTTTGATGTGTTTGAACTTTTGATTTTGCCAATTGTAAAGGGACTTTCCATTTTGAATTTTCCTTGGAGTTCAGTATTTTTGTTGTTTAACTTTTTCAAAATGCATTGTGACCGTAAAACTAAATTGGTGTTGTATCGATTTCAGTCGTCCTTGCTCATAAACCTGTTAGAGCATTTTTTTTGTGTCAGGATAACTTAAATGTTTCTCTAATTTTCATGCTATTTTCACATGTCTCGATCGGTGTAAAAAAAATATTTCTCCTCTCTAGAGAAAACTTTGTTCTCGGCAAATGATTGGTCGAAATTTTAATTATGACGTCAAATGTTCTTGATTTCTTCTGAATATCCTATTGTGACGTCATGAAAAAAATGCGACCATGCCTGATGACGTCACATATAAAGAACACAACCTTTTGCAAAGCTTGGAAGAGAAAGGATACACTTGTTAAGAAATCGTCTTAAAATCATTAGATTAACAGATTCCACCACTATATCTCGTGTATTATGATATTTCTCCACTCTCAACAGTTAAATTTTAAATAATTAAAAAGCTCACCAAGCCTGGCGTTTTAAATTTTAAAATTTAACAGCCTCGAGTGAAGAAATATCGTAACACACTTGATTCAGTGGTGGAATCTATATATCACCCTTCGGGCTATTATTCAGTTTGTGAGTTAATTAACCAAGTTTACAAGTGGCTTCTATCTTTTCTGAAATTGAATTTTATTCTTTTTTACAATTTTTCTGTCGTTGTTTTGGCTGAACACAGAGAAGTAGTTAGATAAGTGGCATTCTGCGGCACTTTCAATTTTTAAAAATGTTTTAACATTTTTTAACATGATGTGTAAAAGTTTGAATAGGAGTAAGAGATAAATGTTTTTAACATGTTGTGTAAAAATTTGAATAGGAGTAAGAGATAAATGTTTTTAACATATTGTGTAAAAATTTGAATAGGAGTAAGAGTTAAATTTTTTAACATGTTAGATTTGAATAGGAGTAAGAGTTGCATTTTTTAACATGTTTGAAAGTAAAGTAATAATT